TCATACACCACCACTTTCCAGTTTACAGGGAAATTGACTACATTTCTTTGTGTCAAATGTTTCCTCATCTGCAATATAGGAATGATGATAATATTTTCCTTAAGATGTTACAGAAAAACCCAAACAAACTTTTTTGGCCAAACCAACAGAATACAGCTATTGGCACATAGTAGTACAATAGATTATACCTATTTTATGTTACTGTTTGCTTTTTATTGCTTTTACTTGTGTGATCTTTTAACTTAGTCAAAAAGGTCAAAACCCACATGACCACTTCAAAATATCTGGGAAAATAATGAGTGTTTAATACTACTCTTTTTTCTTTCACATTCTTTTCAAATATTAAAAAAGTTATTTTGAGCACGTTAAATATTCTGTTCTATTCAGTAACTTATCTCCCTTTAGTATGCCAAGTACAGCTCAATAAAATTGGAAGGAAAAGAAAAACTCCCCTTAGTAGAGGAATGAGAACTAACATTGTTTGTGCAATATTGTGTACTAGGCCCAAAGTTAGATGACTATTTCATGGCTTTCCAATTAAAAACATAACATATAATAGATCTGTAGAGAAATTTGGCCAACACAATTTGAAAGAAAAACATCTCCCACAGCTATACTGATCAGTGCAGCCTTTTTTCAGAACATAAAGATACGTACTTTCAGTTTTTAAAATTAACATTGTTCAAATTATAAAACTAATGCATGTTCCGTCTTGTTCGCCAATCTTTTACAGTGTTTAAGTTTACTATGTAATTACTGACTCTGTTCCTGCTTTATCTGTCCTCTTACCCACTGTACCTTTTAGATGTGGCTCTGTAAGCAGAATATAGTTGTGTTTGTTTTGCTACCCAGTATTTTAACTGAAGAATTACATCTGTTTATGCTGTCTCTGTTTACTCACATATTTGGACCTATTTCTGTTATTTTATACTGTCCCTGGGACTTTCTTTTTTTTCTCTTTTGCTTCCTTTTTTCCCCCTCAATCTTTCTTCTCTTTTCTTTTGGATTGATTGAGTTTCTCTTGCATATCATCTTTTTTTCTTCTGCTAATATTGTGAAAATGTACATTTGGTTTCAAGTATTTTAAAGGTTACTCAAGTGATTTAAGTGTGGAATGTTTATATATCACTATATAAATTTAATTCATATTTTATCACTTCAAGAATAGTTTTATTCACCAACTCCCTTTCATCATATATGACTTGATTTTTCAGAATTTTTTTTTATTTAACTTGGCTTTATCCTTCAAGTTAGACATTAAACATTCATTTCATTTTTTTTTAGTAAATCATCTGTCTATTTATTATTCCCTTTTGCAAGTGCTTTTCTTCTCTGTACGACTGGATTTTTATGTTCTTTTTGTTCTTGTGTCACATTGTATGCCTAGTTGTGGAATTCTTGGGATTCAATGGGTTTCTTAAATAAGAGAATGACATCTAAAATTATTTTTTAGAAAAACCTTATGTTGTTATATCTTCTCTTATTGCCTCTTTCTCATAATTTCTGTCATCTCCTTTGGAATTCTGACGTTTATCACATTTATCTCTAGCCTTGAAATATATCCACCTCTCAAATGCAAGAGGACAGTGTCTTATCTCTTAGTGCGGTATCTTTCTATAATACTGCCTGTGTTTTCCAGCCCATTAACACTCTGTTCGGTTATGCCTTAATCCTCTGATTAAATATTTATTTGAATTTATGTTTTTAATTATAATTTTCCCCATATAGTTATTTTACAAGTCATCCTGATTAATTTAAAGAGAAGCTTTCTTTTGCAACCTGTTCAGTTTATTTTTTTACTGCAGTTTTGACTCCATAAACCATCCACTGCTCTTCTTCATGTAGAAACTTGTTCATGACATCTGCATTCCTCAGTTAATATGGGGTTGTGAACACATGCTTCTTGCACCTTATTTTTGGGGAATTCTTTGAGTCCTCAATTTAGGGTGAATTTATTCAGCGAGGGTATGGATTTGCTTTTGCTAGGATCCTTATTGTCTTCCCTGGTGGCTCAGATGGTGAAGAATCCGCCTGTAATGCAAGAGACTCGGGATTGATCCCTGGGTCGGGAAGATCTCCTGGAGGAGGGCATGGCAACCCACTCCAGTGTTCTTGCCTGGAGAACCCCATGGACAGAGGAGCCTGGGAGGCTGCCATCCATGGGGTCACAGAGAGTCAGACACAGCTGAGTGACTAAGCACAGGCTCTGGATATGCAACGCCAACCCAAGGCCAATTTATGAAATATTTGCCTCAAGATTTTACAGGTCACATGTGTAAGATGAATTCTAGTTACAACCCCTTGAATGGAGGGTTCCTCTTAGAAATTCTCAGGGAGACTTTTATTTCTATTTTTTCTTTCTACCTAGAGCCCAGACTGAAAAAAGAAAGGGTATTCTTCTGCTCTCCTTTCACAGGAGAGATTTCTATTAAATTTCTATTAAATTTTCTACTACCGAAATCTACTGAAAAGTTTGGATCGTGCCCATGTTTTCCTCATTTGCTTGCCCACATTCATCATCCTTTGCTCTTCTCTAAGCAGCTGACCTCCAGAGACCACATTATCCAAGCTTTTTGCACACTGGCTTCTTCTTGGATTCAGGCAGTGTATAGTCCAGAAATGGTTCAGAAGGTTGGAGAGAAAGATTCCTTCTCTTGGTTTTTCCTTGCCTGATGTAGGTCTGGGAGTGGTGTTACATTCTCATTTAAAACCTGCCTTTTAAAAGTTTCTTTTTTTTTTTAACTGCCTTAAAAAAGAAGGGGAATGCAAACTAGTACAGCCACTATGGAGAACAGTGTGGAGATTCCTTAAAAAACTGGAAATAGAACTTCCATAATGACCCAGCAATCCCACTGCTGGGCATACATACCGAGCGAACCAGAATTGAAAGACACACGTGTACCCTGTTGTTCATCACAGCACTGTTTACAATAGCCAGGACATAGAAGTAACCTAGATGTCCATCGGCAGACAAATAGATAAAAAAGCCATGGTATATATACACAATGGAATATTACTCACTATTAAAAAGAATGCATTTGAATCAGTTCTAATGAGATGGATAAAACTGGAGCCTATTATACGGAGTGAAGTAAGTCAGAAAAAAACACCAATACAGTATATTAGCACATATATATGGAATTTAGAAAGATGGTAATGATGACCCTATATGTGAGATAGCAAAAGAGACATGGATATAAAGAACAGACTTTTGGACTCTGTGGGCTGTCGGGAAGCATTTAACAAGAGGCCTCCTGTGTGCTGTTTTGGATTTGTCAGGAACCCTCTCGCCCTTATTGATTCCTGAATATTCAGGAATTAAGAGGAGAAGCACGCCTTTCCTGGGACTGAGGAATCCAGGCATTTCTCATTACAGTGATAAGTACCCTCTTCCTTTTTATGAGCCATACGGTAAAAGGTGATTGTTTGCAACTTTCTCTTTGATAGGGATCATCTTATGTTTTGTAAGTCTGGAATTTTAATCTTTGTCTTTGCTGAGAATAACCACCTTGTAAGACAGTATATATGCCCACGCCATGTTGATTAAAACACCTTTGCTCCATCAGAGCTTTGGTCCCCGTGTCTTTCTTTCTGTCTTTCTCTCTCTCTCTCTCTCTCTTTCTGGCTAATTCCTTGGAGCGCGGAGGCCCGCTGAGCTCACTTTCTTGCCCGGGGTCTAAGACCCTCTCGAGAAGGCGCACTGCGCCTTCACCCACTCGAGAGGGCGCCCAGTGCCTACGTGCAGCAGCGCCAGCCCTAAGAACAGGGTTCTATTGGCTTTCCGCATAAATCAAGTGCTATCAGCCTCTTTCTCTCTCTTACTTTCTTATCGTTGACTCCGGACCACCAGGTTCCGGTCCATTAAAGGACCAACAGAGGGCGAAGGCGAGGGTGGGGTTATTTGAGAGAATCGCATTGAAACTTGTATATTATCATACGTGAAATAGATCACCAGTGCAATTTGATACATGAAGCAGGGTGCTCAAAGCTAGTGCACTGGGACAGCCCAGAGGGATGGGATGGGGAGGGAGAGGAGGGGGGTTCAGGATGGGGACACGTATACACCCATGGCTGATTCATGTCAATGCATGGCAAAACCCACTACAATATTGTAAAGTAATTAGCCTCCAATTAAAATAAATTGATTAATTTTTTTAAAAAAAGAAGAAGAAATGAAGTCCTTCCTCCATGGCCTGTGTACCTCTGGCCTTCTCTAATACCATTCCCTACAGATCCTCTTTTAATTAGTAATTAGTGCTTCCATTAAACCTCTTACCTTTGAGAATTTCATCTGTTTCCTTCTGGGACCATTCATGCTATACTACTAAGTATTACAGTTTTGTAGGGGAGGGAAGTCAGATACAGAGAAACAAATTGTGTTTTTCTTTTATTAGACTATAATTGCTTTACAATATTGTGTTAGTTTCTGCTGTACAACATTGTGAGTCAGCTACACGTATACATATATAATATATCCCCTCCCTCTAAACCTGCCTCCCAAACCCTTCCCATTCCACCCTCTAGGTCATCACAGAGCACCAAGCTGAGCTCCCTGTGATAGACCATAACTCAAAAAGACACATGTACCTGAATGTTCACTGTAGCACTATTTATAATGGCCCAGGATATGGAAGTAGCCTAGATGTCTGTCAACAGAGGGATGGATAAAGATGATGTGATCCATATATATAATGGAATGTTACTCAATCATAAAAAGGACTTGTTTTTTAAAGAGAGGAATATGGTTGTTGTACTGTTTCAACCTGGGTAAACTGAGATCTGTGTTTCCAGAAGACTCCTTCTTGGAATGTTTCTAGATCAGAGCTGGCCAAATGAAAACCTGCCCGAGACTTAGAAAGCATTAGTAGGGTGATGACGGTCACTCCTTGAGGTTCCTGGTCTTAAGATGGAATGAGGGACAAACCACAGGTGCCTAGTGGGTCATGTCTTATCCTCACACTTCTGTACTTTTTCTGACTACTGTCTCCTTCCACAAACAGGACCCTCAGACCAACCACCAGAGATTTCACTGCAGACTCACAGGGTAACTGCTACACAGAAGCAAAACCTTAGGCTTCTCACTGGGAAGATGTCTGGGATAAAAGACATCTCAGCAGAGAGAGGCCCAGAGATCGCAGCCATTCCAACCATCCTCGGGCTTCAGACGTATGAGCGAGGTCATTATGTACCCTCCAACCCCCATCAAGTCATCCAGGTAACTAGAGCCGCATGAGTGACCCTAGGCAAGACCAACAGAAGAAACACACTATCAAACCTTGAGATAAAAAATGCATCATTATTATTTTAAGCCATTAGTTTTGGGGATTTTTTAAAATGTAGGCTCTAGACATTAGCATATGTAAGTGCAGTATTGCTGTAATAATAATTGATAAAAGACCTTAAGACATGTGCCATTGACTCTGGGACTGGAGGATGGGAAAAAAATCTAGGATAGTTTCAGAGAAGCTGCTACCAGAGATGACAAAAGGCCGGGGGAAAACAATCACAGGCAGAGAAAAGGCAACCCGTGTTATTTAATGGCAGAAAATTGGCCAAAACGTCGCCTGTGGTAATTTGGAAGCTAGTGTGAACTGTTGGATCTGCCTGTGGGCCCTTTCAGGGAGAACCCTGAAAAGCTAATTGGCTTCGTTTAGTATCATGCGGTCAGATATAGGATGAAAGATGATACAAACATGAAACTATGCATTTTAAAGAGAGTTGATAAAATAAGAAGGACCAATATTTTTATGTTGGAAGATAAAACCATCTCACCCCTCATCTCCCCAGCCAGTAAACCATCATCAAAGTAATATGAGACCTAAGGCTACACATGAGACAAAGGTGCATTTTGAAGACCTCCTGCTAATACTTACACAAGATGTAGGGTGGTGTCAAGTATACACTGTCAGCTAGAACAAAATCATTACAAAAATAAGGATTATTGTCAAAACAACCTCATCTGTGCCCCCAAAAATGTGAGGTCATCTTGAACCCCCCCAACACCAGTTAAACTGTTAGATGTAATCCTAGGTGATAGGGGTAATTCCAAGTGATGCCAGCAGAAGAGCTACTCAGATTTCCAGCAGTTCTCTGTCATGTGATGTGTTATGTAGGCACAGGGAACTCGTGCAAGCTACTCTTCACAATTATTTGTAACCAGGTGTAGGATTTAATGCTGAGTCAATTATCCTTTTTGTTTGTTTATTTGTTGTTCAGTCTCTAAGTCATGTCCAAGGCTTTGTGACCCCATGGGCTGCAGCATGCCAAGCTCCTCTGTCCTCCACTATCTCCCAAAGTTTGCTTAAATTTATGTCCATTGAGTTGGTGATGAGCAATCTAACCGTCTCATTCTCTGCAGCCCCCTTCTCCTTCTGCTGTTAGTCTTTCCCAGCATCAGGGTCTTTTTCAATGAGTTGGCTCTTCATTTGTTTGTTTATAAAATGCTAAAGAACAACTTACATGATCAGCTGCTGCTGCTGCTGAGTATCTTCAGTCGTGCTGACTGTGGGACCCCATGGACCGTAGCCCATGAGGCTCCTCTGTCTGTGGGGGTTCTCCAGGCAAGAATACCAGAGTGGGTTGCTATGCCCTCCCCCCGGGGATCTTCCCAACCCAGGGGTCAAACCCAGGTCTCCCACATTGCAGATGGATTCTTTACTAGCTGTGCACAGGATCAGCCTACCATACCAAAAATATGCAACACCAAAGCATTTTGTATTCTCCTTTTAAAATTGACAGATGAAGAAATTCAACTAGGAAGAGTTTAGAATTACATAAGAAGATATGGTAGTATTCCATGTAGAATAGAATATAGATAGAAAGGATTTAGCTAAACTTTCTTTTGCTTTGGGGTATTATTGTTTATCTTCATTTTGCCAGTTTATCCTTTTTCTAAATACAAAAAAAAAAGTTGTGTGTGTGTTCAATAATCTTATAGAATAATAAGTAGCTTAGTCACTCAGTCATATCTGACTCTTTGGGACCCTTTGGACTGTAACCCACCAGGCTTCTCTGTCTGTGGGATTTTTCAGGGAAGAGTACTGGTAAGGGTTGCCATTTTCCTCCTCCAGGGGATCTTCCCAACCCAGGGATTGAACCCGTGTCTCTTGTGTCTCTGGCACTACAGGCTGATTCTTTTTCAGCTGAGCCACTGGGGAAGCCCATAATGAAATTAACCTGACCCCCAAACTCCATCTTAGAGCTAACAAATCATCTTTCGCGTATTCTTAAGCCTAGACTTCCTGGGACAGTCTTACTCTCCAAAGGACTTATGATGTCAGCACCCATCATTTTTCCTCAGTACTGTGGCATGAACCCCTCTTGAGACAAGGAGATTCACGATCATCATTCAGCATGGTAGCATGAACCCCTCTTGAAAGAGGGAGATAATCACCACCTGATGTTAGAGATATAGAAGCATGCTAGTTGGCACTCATGGTAAAGAATCCATCTGCAATGCGGGAGACCTGGGTTTGACCCCTGGTTCAGGAAGATCCCCTGGAGAAGGAAATGGCAATCTGCTCCAGCATTATTGCCTAAAAAATTCCATGGACAGAGAAGCCTGGCGGGCTACAGTCCATGGTATTGCAAAGAGTCAGACACGGCTAAGCAGCCAAACAGACCCAGACACTACTTCAAATCGGGAAGAGGCATATACTGGCTCTTAACAGTCCATTCCGGTTTTCCAGCTTCAGCTACCAGCACCATCATTCTCACTGCTGTGGGAGGACCAAATGTGTGGTCCCCTGTCCCACATTGGGCCTCTCACCCCCATCCAGAATCAAGGTCTCCTTGCCCTGTGCATGGTGCCAGCCTTGTGGGACTTGGAGCCACACAGCAGGTCGTCTTGGAAATGCTCCCTGCTCAGCACTGCCAGTCTCTCAGCTCTCTCTGCCAAGGCACCGAAACCCATGGTTTCTATTGAAGACAGACAGGCAGGCTCTTCCCTGTCATCCCTAACCAGGCTGTGATGATGACATTTGTGGTTTAGCAGTGTTTCTCGGGGTCCAGAGGGAAATCTCAGTGGTCCCCCCTCTGGTGTCTAACTTAGGGTGTGTTCCTTCCACCGAGCCATGCTGCTTAAAATCTGAATATCAGACTTATTTGTTTAACCTTGCAAACACAACTACTGTTTATGAGTCAGATCTGGAGTTATAGGTGTCTTAAGGCTGCAGAAATGTCTAGACTCAGCAGGAAGCTGTTCCATGGACCCATCCTCTCTAACCAGCATTGAGCCCATCTGAATTTCTCTAAGTGATGAGTCCTTGCTTACGAGCTCTTAGTATCTACTTCTGTTGCTTAACATAGGCTGCACTATGTCAGCCTGGCACAGGTGACCTAATATTATTGAGCCTCAAAAGGGACAAAGTCAGTCTTCCTTTTTGCTCGGTGGTACATTGGTTTATATGAAAATTTGTTCTTCCTAAGCCAACAATGCTTTCGAATTGACACTTTGGAACTGTGGTGCTGGAAGACTCTTGAGACTCCCTTGGACAGCAAGGGGATCAAACCAGTCAATCATAAAGGATATCAACCCTGAATATTCATTGGAAGGACCGATGCTGAAGCTCCATTACTTTGGCCAGCTGATGCAATGAGCTGACTGATTGGAAAAGAACCTGATGCTGGGAAAGACTGAGGGCAAGAGGAGAAGGTGGAGACAGAGGATGAGATGGCTTGATGGCGTCACTGACTCAGTGGACATGAGTTTGAGCAAGCTCTGGGAGATAGTGAAGGGCAGGGAAGCCTGGCATGCTTCAGTTCATGGGGCTGCAAAGAGTCAGACATGACTTAGTGATTGAACAACAATAAAGCAAACAATACATGTCTTCTACCTCCAAAAGAAGAGAAGTAATATAGTCAGCTATAACAAAATAAAATGTGGCAGAAAATTATTTCTAGTAGTTGGGCTGTCAGTATCAAAATTGATTCATTATTTCATTCACCATGCCTGGAGAAAGTCAGAGCTCACTTAATCGTTTTATGCTGTAAGTGGGCTCACGATTTTCTATGTCTGAAGTATGAGAGAAAGAGGTCCTTAGGAAATCTTTTAGAGGTGCGAAAGATGCTGTAAGGATTTCCTGTCATAAAACCTAGAGTATGATTCTGTTTCTGAACTGTCAATCTAACTTTTGCTAAAATGTGTTGGCAGCCACTTCCCTCAGAGCTGTCAGAAGTGTCATTGATAAGAGTTTTGCATCACAGAGGGGAAAGGGGATATTAGGAACTTAATTCTCGACCCTTGTCAGCAGTGTCATCAGCAGCTTAAAACAAGGAGTAGTCTAATTCCTCTGAACATCTAATCCGAAATCTTGCAAAGTGATGGAGTGTGTGAAGGGGAGAAAGGAAGAGGTGTTTATTGAAGATCTATGACTTGGTTAGTGTCTCTGTATTTCAAATTCTGCACAACCCTACAGGGCCAACTTGTCTTAACTCTTCCAGTTTCATAAGAAAGGGATGAGGCAGGTCACATAGCTGTTGGTGTCTCTTGGGAGACACCGGAGTGGACACCAGAGGCCAAGCCATTCTCACTGAATTGTGTTGCTGAGCACATGTTCAGGAACGTGTGAAATGAGGGGCTGTTAGTTTGCTGTCTCTCTTCATCAAAATAGGTAAATAACAAGTACGGTGATCAGTGTTATTATAAAGTGGAGATCCCTAGTATAATGTGTGTGTGTGTTAGTCACTAAATTGTGTCTGACTCTTTTGCTACCCCATGGACTATATAACATGCCAGGCTCTTCTGTCCGTGGGATTTCCCAGGCAAGAACACTGGAGTAGGTTGCCATTTCCTTCTCCGGGGGATCTTCCCGACCCAGGGATTGAATTCATAGCTCTTGCCCTGTCTCCTGCTTTGTAGGCAGATTCTTTGGAAGCCTGACTAAAAGTCCTAAATGACAATATTACTATTTTATAAGCAATTCAGTGCTACAATAGTTTTGCCTGTTGCAGGTAGGATCGCTGCCGCCAGTCAGACTATCATGTTATCCCCAACAGAAAATTATTTTCAAAAATGTGATATGTTAAAAAAAAATGTGATATGTTTATTGTAAAGCCCCTGGGCATAGGTACAAGAATGCAAACATCATTTACATATCTATTATCTATTAACTGACACTGCATTTGCCAGGCATTTGACACAATTAAGCAAATGCTTGACTGAACAGATGGGTCTTATAAGGATCCCTAAGGGCATGTCTGCATTAACTATGCCAAGGGGGGTTAATGCTCTCATTTGGCATCTGCATGTATTTTCCCATAAGCTGTCTTGTGTTGCTGCGAATGGGTCCATTTTTGTCTCAGAGGACTAAGTGTAAATGAATTGAACTATTTCCAGTTTATTCCACTTTTGTCTTCTGTTTGAAATGTATCCACAACAATAGTACCTTACATTCCATGCTTGTGTCTTGTATTCATTTACTTGAAAATAGCCTAATGCTTTTATTTAGTTTACTAGTGATGTCAAGGAAATAGAACATTTTTTTTTTTTTTACTCAAAAGGCATAGCTTTTGAACTTTATGCCTTGCTTTGTATAGTCTCTAATGCTAGGTTATAGTAGGTAGAGGAAGAAAACAAAAAACAAAAAACAAAACTCAGATCTTAATAGTAATAATAAAGAATTTTATATTATAAAAGCTGATAAGTATTTGTCTTTCACCAAACTATATCATTGGGCTTCCCAGGTGGTGCTAGTGGTAAAGAACCTGCCTGCCAATGCAAGAGATGTGAGAGATATGGGTTTGATCCCTGCATTGGGGAAATCCCCTGCAGTAGGAAATGGCACCCCACTCCAGTACTCTTGCTTGGGAAATCCCATGGACAGAGGAGCCCGAGGGCTACAGTCCATGGGGCCCCAAATAGGCAGACATGAGTGAGTGACTGAGCATGCACAAAAACTCTTTCATGATGTCTGAAATAAAAACACAACGCCACACACACATACTGAAGTCAATACTGTAGACCCTCCTTGCTGTCTCCTGGAAGTCTCTCTGGGAAATGATCTCATCATATCAGGTAAACTTTTTAATTTTTGTACTGGCTAAGTCTTCGAGGCCTCCTTTAAAAGCTCTCCGAAAAGTGGAACAGTTCAGGACCTACGCTGGGGGTAATGCATTTTGTTCATTATAGGAATAATGCTGCTCCATGAAACAAGACATGGATAGAGTAAGTGTTGGGGTAAATGATATGTGAAGCTGCATGAACTACAGTCTGAACTTTGCATTGATCTGTAGCTTTATCAGACATTTTTGGTCCAGTGGGGTTTGTGCCATCCTTGACACCTAGTAGAGTTTAGCATGAAAAATAAAGGAGTCACGAAAGTATGTTGCACACTGAGGATCACTGTGTGAGAGGATAAAATTAAGCGGAAAACAAAATTGATGAAAAATCTCAATACTGATTCAGCTTTATGAGGCAAGTAAATGTACAGAATTACTAAATTAGGTGACAGTCTTGTCAAATCAGGCATTAGAAATGGAAATTTTTCTTTTCTATGCTTAAAAAGAGTCAGCAGTGTTTTATCAAAACATATATTTGATTTATTAGATGGAAGATAATCTCACACAAAGAAGATCCCATATAACATTTTTTCCACATCCCATGCTTTTATTTCCTTACTTACTAAAAAGAAAGGGAAAAATTCCCAAAATCCATAAATATGACCAAAAGGATTTGCTTTTTTGCACTGCCCAAGTTCTCAGGTTTTTCTGTAGAGAACACTGAAAAAGGTATTTCATTTTTTAAAAGTATATTCAGAAATTCTAGTGTGTGCATTTTGAAAGCGAAAGTGAAAATCACACAGTCGTGTCTGACTCTGCGAGCCCATGGAGTGTAGCCTGCCTGGCTCCTCTGTCAATGGAATTCTCCAGGCAAGAGTACTGGAGTGGGTTGCCATTTCCTTCTCCAGTGTGTATTTTAAATTTATGTTAATACGCTAGCAACTGAAAGAGAAACAAGAGTTATCCAGGATTATTTTCATTGTTTCTATTTGTAACTGACATTGCAAGATATTTACTATTGTTTGGTTGAACATTTGGAGTTGCTGATTCTAGAATGAAGAGACCTTTGTATTTTTCTATTACAACACAATTATTTGAGAAATTGAGACTTTTACAGCATATGAGTCACTCAGTCAAATAAGTAGTTAATGATATTCTAGTGTTAAAATTGACTGTATCAAAACTCAACTTTTTTTTGAGCCTAGTACAATGCTACCCAGAATCCTAGATGAATTTGCACTTTATTGTTTTTAGATTAGAGCATTGTTGTTCAGTTGCTAAGCCGTATCTGACTTTTTGTGACCCCCATGGATTGCAGCGTGCCAGGCTTCCATCCTTCGCTGTCTCCCAGAGTTTGCTCAAACCCATGTCCATTGAGTTGGTGATGCCGTCCAACCATCTCATCCTCTGTTGTCCCTTCTCCTCCTGCCCTTAGTCTTTCCCAGCAGCAGGGTCGCTTCCAATGAGTCAGCTCTTCACATCAGGTGGCCAAAGTATTGGAGTTTCAGCATCAATCCTTCCAATGAATATTCAGGGTTGATTTCCTTTAGGATTGACTGGTTTGACCTCATTGCTGTCCAAGGGACTTGCAAGAGTCTTCTCCAGCACCGCAGTTTGAAAGCATCAGTCTTTGGTACTCAGCCACCTTTATGGTCCAACTGTCATATCCATACATAGTGCATGATACATGCAATAAAACAAGTATTATATGCTCATGTACATACATGCATGCTCAGTCACGTCAGTTATGTCCGACTCTGGGACCCTGCGGACTGTAGCCCGCCAGGCTCCTCTGTCCTTGGGATGCTCCAGGCAAGAATACTGGAATGGGTTGCCGTGCTCTCCTCTAGGGTATCTTCCCAACCCAGGGATTGAACCCACATCTACTGCATTGCAGGTGGATTCTTTACCACTGAACCACCAGGGAAGTCCATTATATGCTCATATGAGCACCCTATTTAACAATTAGAAT